CTATCTATCTATCTATCTATCTATCTATCTATCTATCTATCTATCTACAAAAGCAGCGTTTTCAACTTTACTTAATGGGCATATTATCTTTGAATGAAAAGACTGCTAGAACATATTTAATTTCACCCACATATGAATTACTTGCCTGGGTCCTATTATTTGAGAATTGGATAGTGAGGTATGGTACGTTGACATAATGAACATTCTACTCCTTTGAAGATAAGATATTCTGTTGCTTTTTAAGTTACTCTGCTTATCCTGTTCCATCTTCTGGAACAGAGTGAATTAGTAAACTAACCATATTAATATTATGTTTAACAATAAATTCATTAAATACACTGAAAAGAAAAAATGATGCATCTTTCCATTCTAACCCAACAACGAAGTGCCCAAACTAATCTTGGTAAATATAATTCTTAGATACAAACATGGGACTACAACATGTAGACATTCTCATTTTATGATATTAAATAAAATGGTAGCAATATTTCTATTTTAAATAGAACTATATTTGCCTTTACAAAACATTAGTATCTGTTACAATGGGAATATTTTTGTGATATCTTCCTAATATATAATCTAAGCTATATTATGACTGGAATGTCCAAGTAGAAAAACAGCCATTTATTTTCACTGGAACATTTCACTTTCATTTCATGTGCTTAAACTTTCCATCTCTAAAGGTAACTTTTGATAACTGCTTTTCACCACAGTGATAACACTTAAAAATGGTTAAAAAGTACCTATACGGAAATTTGGCATTGTGATGACCATATTAATCACCGTGATTTTGATAGTATCAGTGAGCAGAAGAGATATCTATACTGATATCTTGTTGATTGCTGGAGTCAGAGAACTATATTTCTCAGCATGTTCAGTATCAATAAAAACTTCTTCTGGGAAGCTTCCTTAGAATATATAAAATGGATGCAATAATGTTTCTATTTTACTAAAACTACTGGGGAATTATTTAGATGGAGAGAAAGCAAGTGAAATCTCACATATGAAATGTATTGCGGTATAGTCATGAATGCCAACAGTTGTGGATGTGTTCAAATAATTTATTCCTTATTGTTAACCTATTTGCCTTAAAATAAAACTTGCTGAAGGCTCTTTTACGTATTCAAAAGTTTGAGAAAATGTGTATGATGATGTATGCATGTATGTAATGCTTATCACTACAAACCATTACACACAATAAGTGTGTGTTATGTGTATGTGTGTGTGTGTATGTGTGAAGGAAGTTGCCATGCATGGCAAGTCATATAGATTTACTTTATTTCTACAGATAATTCTCTACATAGATTTTCCTTCATTTCAAATGACTGAAATCTTCAGAGGAATTCATTTCCAAATATGTGTCTTTATAATAGCAGTCTTAATTTTAGTCATATTTTAAAGTTTTAAAAGCAGCATGTAGCATGTAATATTGCAAAGTAATTCAACAATGCAAACAATAACAAATTCCTGAAACATTATTGATGACATATTTATCAATTCTTCATATTTCTGTTGTCATTAAGAAGCTTTAATTCTAAAGCACTGAAAAACTTAGAAGTCTATTAGAAATAATCACAGTTGTTTATGTAAAATTTTTACATGACAGCAATAGTTTCAGTTATTTTTTGTATATCAGGGTCTAAGGAAAGAATTAGGACAGGATCCAAATCACGATTTGAAACTTTTGCCTAAATCTGATGGTTTTGCAACCATAGATTTTCTTTTTCCCAGGAAATAAGTGCACTACAGAAATGCAGGAAGACTTTCAGCTCAAATTCCTAAAATTCTCTCTGGTCAAGAAATTTCCCTTTTGACACTACTGTCAAAATATTTACGATAGATGTTAATGTACTGTCAATTGAAACATTCTGAAATACTCCCTGGGGGGTCTCCTGTGAGGCCTATGCTCTATATTGTGCAATAAAGCAAGCATTACATTTTTATTGCCATTTATAATAGTTAACAGCTGCACAGTATCTTCGCAATAAATAAATAAATAATTTTTGCCATGTAATTTTTAGTAATATTCATTTCTTTAATGCTAAAATATTAAGATTAGTATAGAATAAGCAGCTCCTTTATTTTTCTTCTTTTGTATGAAAATGAACGGATCCTGCTATTTAACCTGCAGACTTTAATTTGTAAGCTTCCGACATGAATATATACAATTTCACCCTTATCACAACTATATCCACCTTTACTTAACGCAAATTTAAAGCCATTTTTTTGTGAAACTTTCTTATATATGCAAAAATGCCAATAAATGTTTCCTTTGATGACAAAGAAAGAGATACCTTTTCATAATTTTCCTCTTCCCAGTTTCTCCATTCTGCTCTTGTATTGATTTATGGAGCTTATATTACACAGGAATAAGGGATAGAGTAGGAAGAGAGACTCTGAGGCACTTGTTTTTCTCAGAGGATTCAACAAAGAAAACTCCATGCATGAGATCTCTCCATCTAGCCACTGGATTTAATGGTAGCTTTCATTGCCTTTAAATCAAAAATAAATCTTTTCTGCATGCATCAGAAACATTGGAGAAAAGTTAGATTTATTAAAAAGATTGTGCAGAATGGAAATATTATTTGGAAAGGCAGCTTCCCCCCCAAAAGCTATTTTTGTTTGGGCAGCAGGAAGTGTCAGGCATCAAGTTCTTGCATTTGTGATGACTATTGTTTACAGAGCAACAATCAAGAATTAGACAGGCTATATAACTCCATGAATCTAGTGGTGTTGTGTATGATAGACACATGAAAAAAGAAAAGGCCCCAACAGGCAGTTTGTACAGTAAGCAGTACTGTCTGAAGGAATTCTTCATAAACATTAGACAACTTCTATCCCTTTAAGACAGTGCCACGGTGCCTTGCAATTTGCTTTCTTTCAGAGTGTTTTTCAAGAAGACAGGGAATTTTTTTCTGCTTTCCTAGCTTTTTTTTGCATCCTTTTCTCTTGCCCGTTCCTTCCAGGACTTGAAGCCATGATAGTAGAAAAAGAAGTAGGGGGAAAGTTGAACCTTCCTGGTCAGTCATCCCATGGTCCATGAGAGTTGGGTGACACTGATAACCCAGTGCTATTTACTGGGAAATCGTTTATCCCCTGGGATGTGATCCATTGGACTGAGTAAATGGAAGTTGCCCAATGCTGATTCTTCAGGTGATGTATGGGGTAGGCAGTGGCTTTGGTAAAGAATTTGTCCTATTTTTCTCTATCAATTTCATGGATTCGAATTTGACAGAAGGTTCAAGCCATGAGTTGAACAATCTATCAAAACTCACCTCCTGTCTCCTCAGATTAAGCCCAGCATCAGAGACAGTAACAGGGCAATGTTTTTCTATTGGCAGGAAATCAACAAATTGCTTAGACTTGTTTTACAAGCTAAATTTGTAAGAGGAGCATGCATCACTCACTGGCCTTGTTATTCAGCAAGATTAGAGCTCAGCTGTTGTAATAGAGTAAATTATTGTAGCGTACTCTTATGCTGCTTCATGGATCAAAAGAAACTATTTTAAAATAGTTGTTAACTGATACAGTGTCAAATATGCCAATTATTCAAATTGCCATTACAAACACAGCATATATTTATTAACTGGCAAAATATTGATCTAAAATTCTGTATTTTGAAGGCTGTCCCTGCTATATATGCAAACTATCTGGATTATGAAAGAATCACAAAGCCCACTGTGGCTCTGTACTTTCTATCCATCTATTCTGCTCTCAGGATGTTCAGAAAAGGGATGCTTATATTTACTTCAATTTTGCCACAAATGGATAGACAAGATTGGTAATTAAACACAAACTTTAAAACAATAATTGCTGTATTTTAATAAAATGGGTAGCTATAGTTTACAATTACATACCCAACCAATCAATCTCAATCAATCTTCTTGTCTTCTGGCGCAGTTATTAAATGTATTAGTAAACTAGCTTCTGTTTTAAATTAACAACCATTTATTATATATGAACCAGAACTATGATTACTTTTAATTAGGGATTCAAATTTAAGACATAAATCAGAATTAAAAATTTCTCTAAAATACAACAAAATAAATAGTCATCTTAACTAGTCTCCTAAATCGTCATTTGAAACTCTGTCCACCAATTTCATTGTTATAAAGATATTTTGATTTAAAAAAATGGAGTTGGTAGTGAAAAATTTAAAAAAGTTCCTACTGGCATATAAATTTCCTTGTTTTAAGCAAATCAAATCCACAATAAAAACTTGTTAAAAACACAAGAATAGAATTCTTTATTGGCCTAGTTTGATTGGGCGCACAAGGAATTTGTCTTGGTGCAAATACTCTCAATGTACATAAAAGAAAAGATACATTCATCAAGAGTCAAGAATCATAAGGTACAACACTTAATAATCACAGGGTACAATAAGCAATCAAAACCTACAAGGAAATCATCAATATAAATCGTAAGGATACAAGTGACAAAGTTACAGTCATACAGTGACAAGTGGGAGGCGATGGGTGATAAGGAGTGATGAGAAGATTAATAGTAATAGTAATGCAAACTTTGTAAATAGCTGGACAATGCTGTAGGCATTAGTTGTTTAGCAGAATGATGGCGTTCGGGGGAAAAACTGTCTTTGTGTCTAGTTGTTCTGGTGTGCGGTGCTCTATAGTGTAATTTTGTGGGTAGGAGTTGAAACAGTTTATGTCCAGGATGTGTAAATATTTTCACAGCCCTTTTTTGACTCATGCAGTATACAAGTCCTTGATTGAAGGCACAGTGGTGGTAATTATTTTTTCTGCAGTCCAAATTACTCTCTGAAGTCTGTGTCTGTCTTGTTAGGAACCAAACCAGACAGTTATAGAGGTGCAGATGACAGACTCAATAATTCCTCTGTAGAACTGTATCAGCAGCTCCTTGGGCAGTCTGAGCTTTCTGAGTTGGTGCAGGAAGAACATTCTTTGTTGTGATTTTTGGATGACGTTTTTGATGTTAAGTGTCCATTTTAGGTCTTGTGAAATGATAGAACCTAGAAATTTGAAGGTCTTTACTGTTGATATGGTGTTGTCTAGTATTGTAAGAGGTGGTAGTATGGGAGAGTTTCTCCTAAAGTCTACCACCATTTCTACGGTTTTGAGCATGTTCAGTTCCAAATTGTTCTGGTTACAGCACAAGGCAAGTTGTACAATTGGTCCAGATTTGTATTTCTGAAAGTTTGTTGATAATGGAAACAAGATTCTGCCCTTCTTTTTAATGTCTTGATGAAGCAAGACATAAATTTTCTGTCCAATCTTCATTTATTTTCCCTTTCAGTCTGAAAAACAAAAGTGGCCTTTGAATAATATTTCAAGCTCCATATTTCAAAAAATATATGAGCCCATGAAAATAAATTGAGACAGGATAAAAACATTTGATATATATGATTAAAAATCTAATTACATTAATTAACTATGGCTACTCTGATTAATCTCTGCATATTTATGTATTTTCCTCCACTCACATTAAAAGTATAGTTTATGGCAACTTTGGCATTTGCATTGAAGATGGGTGGTCATATCTAACCTTTAGGAGACAATTCATGAACCCTATAGTAGAAGAATTGATTGATTTGAAGACACAATTATTCCCTTTGTATCTCTGCATTAGTGAATGAGTTATTTAGAGAAAGTGTAGTTTTCTTCAGTTATTCTATATTCAAAATAAATTTGACACAAAAACCACACAGTTAACTTTTAAAAATGTGTATTTGCTGATTAAAACAGGTTCACTGGTTCATGCTCTACTGATCAGTTTATCTTATTGATAAAGTTTTCATGATTCATCTAGTTGCCTCCATTTCAAACAAATATTTACAAACAGATAACAAGTGGCAGCATTCCAATCATGCCATGCCTTTTCACTTTTTGCTACCTTGTACTGGAAGAGGGGAAGAGATGGCTGTGGAAGCAAGACTTACAAGTTAGAAATATCTTTCAAGAATCTGTAAACAAGGATTTCAGATGCCATGGAACTGTTTCCAAAAGTTAAACATGCCTATTCAATTGCAAATTTTGTTAAAACTAAAAGCCTAGAGACAAATAATTGCTTGGTTAATTCAAAGTCATTAAATGAAATTCAGCTTTATGTATGTTTTTGGTCAGTTCTTTTTTTTTTGTTCACTAGAAATAAGGGAGGAAGTAGAGCTATTATTACATTAGCCTATGTGATTTGAATGTGATGTTTTGGAACTGGTGCAATATCATAAAAGATTCATGGCTTTATTAAAATAAAAATCTGCTTAATTAATTTTCATTCTTTTTTTCTCTATTAAGGATTCACAAATATAAATCACAGTTGATTTATATTTTTAAATTTGAGAATTAACAATTATTTATTTTTCCTCCAATTATCCATGTAGTCATTAGTGCAACCAAGCATGATCATCATCATATCCTTCTCTTCCTCCTCCTCCTCTTTCCAATTTACCTGTCAATATATTTTCCAATATTCTAAAACTGAAATTTGATATACTACTTGAATACCACCTAGTTTCTTCCTTTCTATTTGTTTCTTTAATTTTAACCATTTTTCTTGATGGGAAAAAACTCTGGAAACTAAAAAAAACCTGGTATTTTGTAAATTTTCAGATGAATCTTTGAAAAAAGATAGCAAAAGTAACAACATTTTACATTACCTTAAAGACAAATTAAAATAAGATTTTGTGATCCAAACAATAAAAATATACCAGTATTCATCTCCTTTCTTCATAGCATATAACCTCCCCTGATTTAAGCTTGTAAAGTTGTTCTTATTATTACCTAATTGACCCTTTTTTTCAGATTTTTTTTTTCTCAGTCTATTCCCAACATTTTACATTACGCTCTGCCCTTGGGTCTTTTACTGTTTTCCTAAAATAAAATTTCCCAATTCTTCAGTTTGTTCTTTTAATTTCCATCAAATATATAAGTCTTCCTTTCTTACAAAAGCCAGACCATAGAAGTTTAGAATGTCTTACAAAAGCCAGACTATAGAAGTTTAGAATTACTTGAGCAGTTATATATATTATTTTGTTTGCCCACATTAATTTAGCAAATTGGAGTACTTAAGTATTTATCGTAGGTGCTGCAAGCTTTCCTGGATAGGGATGTACAAACACAGTAATCAATACTCTGTCAATGCCAAATTCAACTGGTCCTAAAACATCTATTGCTATATGCATAATGATTATAGTTGCTTCAAGCTTTTAAAGTGCTATTTATTTGTATTTTAATTTAGTCTATTATTCCTTGTAACTTTTGAACTGTAACCAACGATGAAATATTTTTGATAATGATCAAATTATAATATTTTAATAAAAACTAGTAAACAAATAAAGAATTATATGCTACATTTAAAAAATTACCCTCTATTTCCTTACAACCAACAGAGTTCATATACTGACACAAAACAATCCATCTTCTTTAATTTCAGATCCTAATTTGGTCAGTTGAAATCTAACATTGTAGACCTTAATGATTACTTGAATAAAAAAAATACAAAGAATAAAATCCAAACTTTTGCTGTAATTATTTTTAAGATATAGCAGATATTATTTTGCATCATGTGATATAGTAGGTTTCAAATTATTTAGGATTCAGTAAAGTAGTTTGGATATCAGTTTGAGAAATAACTTTCTTTGAAACAGAGAGAATCTGCTATGCTGCGAATAAATCTAATCTTCTACTGCTCAGTCCTTCTCAATAATCCAAATTATTGTCAAGGAGTTCTGATCCTTTATCAGACTTTTGTTTCTATTCCTTACGTATACTCAGCATTTTTGTTTGTTTCAGACTTTAAGTTGCTTTTTTTAAGTATAGGAAAGTTAACTAGTATGTTTTCTTGATTTCCAGATTGAACTAGTATTGGCTTTTTCAATTTCCTATGGCAGTTTTAAAAACTATTGTGATCATTAGGATGTTTGATTCTCTCTCTTTTTCTTTCTCTCTGGTAGCTAATATCAGGCATCTAAAAGTTGGATAACATCAGCAGAGTGGGAGGAGGTAGATTTGTTCATATGCTACTACTATCATGGGTGGTCTGTTGTTTTTTGCTTTTTTAAGGAAACTAAGCACATTACACTATAAAAATACCAATTCCATTCGAGACCCTTATGAACCATGTCAGTATTAGTAATAAGTTTATTACCAAATTTTAGCCGCAGAATCTCTGAGGCAGAGGTTTCCAAGAATCATAAAATACCAATCCCATAATTATAAAATACCAAACCTACAAGCATGATTGAGAAGAGAATTTATTAGAAAGGGATTGTGTAGAAAGGAGGTCTTCTTTAGGAATAAGAATAAGTTATACTACATAATTTATATTTCAAAATACTTAAACTTTTACAGGGAATATATAGCAAAACAATATGCTGTGTTGCTTGTTGCTCACTTTGCAATGGAATGATGTCCTCATAGTTCATCTACACACAAAACAAATCAATACAGAGTAACAGTTTTCAATGGAGGCCTGATAAAGATTTTAATCAAATGTATTTGGTTGACTAAATTATACTTTAGAGCCCTTCATAGCAGAGGTGGTGTTCAGCAGGTTCTGACCAGTTCTGGAGAACCAGTAGCGGAAATTTTGAGTAGTTCAGAGAACCAGCAAATACCACCTCTTTACAGTATCCTTCCCCACCAAGCCATGCCCACAGAACCGGTAGTAAAAAAAACTGAATCCCACCACTGCTTCATAGGATTGCTTTTCCATTTCTTCTTTTCAGCATATTTTGTCTCTATAAATTGCTTCTAGAAATCTTCCGTTTTGGCAGCAAAACCTTGACTTTTGAACTTTAAAATAATTAAATGCAATTCCTTTCTTCAGGTGTGACTTTTTTTGAAAGGACAACTATATCCATATTGAATGAAGCAGTGGAACTGGAACAGAGCATGGCAAATACTTTTGTAACAGTATCTGATGGATACTGCCTTAGTGAGCCAATACAATATTATGGTGAGTAAAAAAGAGAAATTGCCAATAAAACATGTATGTGAGTAAAAACAAGAATTTCTGCAATTGTTAAATACATATTCTGGATCATATATGAAAAATATTGAAAGGTTATTTGGGATGCCATTTTAGATTTGAGGGGGTCAAAAATAATTCCCCCCAAATACACATTTAATTCAAAGAAAAATTCAAAGATCATGAAGGTTATTCAGATGATGAATATTTTAAGGCATTAATTCTTCTTAAAATGTTTTATGAATGTCATTTTTTACTTAATAAAATACTATATTGTTATCCAGATTATTTATTTATTTTTATTAAGCATATGGCAAATACATGGAGTTCAAATGTCAAGCATCCAATGTCCAGCCCACCCAGCCATTCAAGGACAGAGTGGTCTATGTTGAAAAAATCAGACATTGGGCTGATGGTGGACATTTGGACACAATGTGATAGATATTTTGTCGAGGAGCATCACAGTCACACTAGAGAGAAGATCCCCCTTAAACAATATATCCTGGCAGATACCATGTTGGGTATGGATCCTGTTCAGAGTTGTCCCCCATAATGATCTGAAAGGATCTATTGCTGAGCATGTTGTTTATTAGGTGATAGATGATTTTACAGGGAATGATGTGATTCAGTTTGAAAAGCAGACCCTTCTTCCACATGGTATCGTATACTGCAGTAAGGTCGATGAACACACTTGTGGTTTTTAAGCTTCGCTGGAAACCAGCCTCGATATGTCTTGTTAGGCTCAGCACCTGATATCTGCTGCCATGTATTTAGAGATTACCGTGCCATCCAGAGTGCACCATGACAAGCCTCACACCTGTGTTATCCAGATGTTTAGTCTTGATAGACAATGTCAAGGTCCTTCCTGGATTATATTTTTTAAATCACTGGGGGTCGAATCTTCTTCAAGTATATGATACTTTTAAACAGAAGATTCTCTTCTCATAGCCCTTCAATAGAACAGCGTTCCTGGGAAAATTGATTACCTAACCACAACAACAGTTACTAAATATATTAATGGTAAATATATTAATGGTTGTACTGTAAAATTCAGCTTACTTTAATTCTATAAAAATAAAGATGAATTATTCAGAAAAGGATGTATTGTCTACAGTAGTTTCTAAAAACAGATTCCAAATCTGAAAATAATTCTAGCAATATGCTTAATTTCCAGTTGTTCATTATAAAATGACCATATCCTTCACCCTGTTTCTTCCTTTTTTAAATTTTTTTCTCTTGGGATGTGTTTTCTATATTGCTCATTTCGACCATTAGAGTCATTGGATACAAGATTGGTGGCAAATATCTAACTCAGATGTGGAGGCTGTTTTTTTAAAAAAAATCAAATAGAAAAAAATTAATTAAATGTAGAAATATTACAATAGTTTAAATTAAACATGTCAAATTCTAAATTGTGATTTTTTTTTCAAAACAATGCAGATATCTTACCAGAACATATCAGTTATCCAGTGCAAGACCTTGACTTCCAACCTGCTCCTTACTGCCAATATTCAACTGTTCAGTTCCCTCCAGTATTACAGACACCATCTCCACAGACTCATTACAATTCATATAGCTTGGACTCTCAGTTCAGCGATGGTCAATACATCATCAATAATTGTGAACTCAGTAAACCCACCTGCATGGGTGCCCATCATGATGGGGGAGGATACCTTGGACAGAAACGACCCAGGCTTACTCATTCTGCCTTACGAATAAAAGGGCAAGAAGAGCTCTGCGTAGTCTGTGGAGACAAGGCTTCTGGATATCATTACAATGCACTCACTTGTGAAGGCTGTAAAGGTAGTAAAAAAAATAATATTGTATCTTAAGTGGGACTGGCATATGAGAGGTTTAGGAATGAAGTGCCAAAAGTGATTATTCAAAATATAGGAGATGAGTTAAGAAGATAATGGAACCGACATTGGTGCTGGAAACTGTAGGATTGTAATGTCTAAGCATAGTATAGGAAGAAAATTATGTTCTGTTCAATTGCAAATGACATAATTGATAAAAATCAGAGGACTTTAGACCATTCGATGGTATTAGAGCTGCAGGAGTAAAGATCAAAAGCAGGAAATTCGAGCCTATTCAGAAAATAAAGTAATCTGGATACCAAAGATGAGCAAACTTAATTTGGAGATTGTCTGATATTTCCCCAATACAGCCTTCAGCAATTTGGTCCCTGCCAGCTGCTCTGAACAGGTCTAGCACTGACATGCAAGTGTTCAAATTTTCATCACACTTAAAGTTCAATAAGCAAATTTTCTTATTGACTTTCAAAGGGAGTGAAAATTTCTTTTGAGAGGGAAATATCAGATAATCTTCAGATTAAGTTTGTAATGAACATTATCAGAAATTCAGCCTAATCTACTCATGAGGTGATGGTGAGGGGATAGGCCTTTCTAAATGTCTAATCTATTATAAAATGTCTAACCTATTATAAATCATTGTCAGCTATAAAACTTAATTGTAAATAATTACCTTAATGACAATATTATCATATCTTATTTATAACATCCATGCAATTCAAAAGTAAGACCCCTTGAGTTCAATGGAGCTCATTTCCTTCTAAGAAATTCTATTTTAGATTTGTACAAATTTTTTAATCTTATTTGTTGACATGCTATTTTTCTGCAATATATTATCTTATTATACCTTATTATATTGGACTGCCATTTGTCAGAAATGGTGTCGGGTCTCCTGCTTGGGTGGGGGTTTGGACTAGATGACCGATAAGGTCCCTTCCAACTCTGATTATTTGTTATCTATTATATCGAACACTACAAATTAAAATACAGTAAATTGCTGATATATAGTTTCTTTATTATTTATCATAAACTGAAATAATTGTTGCAAGGATTTTTTCGACGGAGCATCACAAAAAATGCAATATACAGATGCAAGAGTGGAGGTCATTGTGAAATGGATATGTACATGAGGAGGAAGTGTCAGGAATGTCGCCTAAAGAAATGCAAAGCTGTGGGAATGCTGGCTGAATGTGAGTGCCAAAGCTATTTTTCTCTAGTTTCTGATGTGCTTCTTAGTTTAGGAACATTTCTGATAAGTTGCATATCATGGAATAGAATAAATTAAGCAAATATAGTAATTGTTAATACAATTTCAATTTATGGGGTTTACAACAATGCCACATATTTTACAATGTCAACACAGTTCTTAAACATGCTTATGAATTTTGGTATAAATTTTTTTAGGTTTGCTAACTGAAGTCCAATGTAAATCAAAACGACTTAGAAAAAAAAGTAGTTTTCTTTGCAACATTAAAATGGAAGAGGAGGGAATGGACAGCAAGCACGTATCTTCTACAACCAAACCTTTAAAAGTAGGGTCATCTTTCATATGTTTTTTATATTTTTTTATATTTTGTATTTTTATATATGTTTAATTATATTATTATTTATATTTATATATCATATAATTATATTAATTATAAAAACATATTAATTATAGCATTTGGCATTGAAGTAAAGCCTACCTATTTTTTCCAAAGGTCCAGGAGAGAATGGAATTTACTCCTGCAGAACATGAACTCATTGATCACATTTTGGCCGTTCACCAAAAATGCACAATTCCAATGGAGGAAGCCAAGAAGTTTGTATGTGCTCATAAATTAATATTACCAAGATTATTTTTTTTAGAAGGGGTGTGATAGCTCAGCAGTAAAGACACTGACCTTGTCAGCTGGAAAGCTGAAAAGCTGACAACCTGGTTCAAGATGCAAGTGCCATGCAGAGTAGTGAGCCCCAGCTCCTGCCCATATAACAGTTTGAAAGCATGCAAATGCAAGTAGATAAATAAGTACCATTTTGGTGGAAAAGTGTGTTCCATGTGCCTTGGCCCCACGACCATGCAAATGTCTTTTGACAATGCTGGCTCCCTCAGCTGTTAGTCAGACACTACTAGAAAAGGGAAACCTTTACCTTTATTTTTTGAGAAATGTGGTATACCAAGTTTCAAATGGCATGTAGACTCATTCTAAATATTTTAAATTAGTTACAGGAAAATACTAATCCTGAAGAGAATTTTCTACGTCTTTCGGAAACAGCAATGATTCATGTGCAGGTCCTAGTAGATTTTACAAAAAGACTCCCAGGTAATATTTTTTAATACAGCATTTTACAAGCTAGCTCTGATCAATCTCTTTAGCTGATTTAAAGTATGTACTTAGTATTAAGGTAATATACTTTAATAAATTATTCTCCATGGCCCCAGGTGGCAGTACTTGGATAACTGGATTTGGAAGGTGAGATATTACCAAAACATCCTAGAGCACAGTAGCAAACTACAGGATTTCCTTACTTCATGCAAATTTGTTGTATTTGAAAAAAATTGTGTTTTCTGCCAGCATGAACAATTTGCATCAAAGGTCTAGAAACATATAAAGACTTATTTCCAAATCCACTTGAATATCTTCTTACTAAATAATCACTATTACTATGGAATTATAATGCCTATCCACATCTTTTCCATTAGATCTTAAATTGTCACTGATACCATCCACTCTAGTGGCATTCATAAGGGTTCAAAAAAGTCAAGATGGTGCTTGAGGCAGTATAATCAAGTCCACAACCCTTTATATGTGTATGCAGTATCAACGTGTTTTTTTTTAAAGCTTCAGTTGTGCTGCTGTCTTAACTTTTCAACATCTCCTCTGGACACTGCTGCTCTAGTTCATGTATTAATAAGTTTGGACCCAAAGGAAACTGCTATCAACTATCTAATTATCATTCCGCTTTTTAAAAAATATATATTTTGGTTATGCTTTTTATAATTCTTGACAGTGGATACATTGCAAAATAATAATTGTAGTCTAAGATATTTGATGGGACCCACATCGATAAAGATATAAAAATCAGTTTAAATATGTGCCATCCCTGTCCATTTCAATGAGCTTGATGAACTTTATTGCTGGATCTGGAAAGTTCCTCTGGTGCTTTTACCATGGGAGTGATACTATCTAGTTTTCCACTTTCTGCAAATAAGTAGCCCCTGGTGTATTCATAAACTTCTTAATATTTGGAATTCCTTTCAACTCTACATTTAAAGTTTAAGTAGTAACTACAGTATCAAATTGTATAGGCAACTTTTTTACATTTTCACAATGCACAATAATTTGAACAATGCATAATATTTGAAATAGAAGAGTGAGGAAAATTCTCAGGGATGACTCACACCCCGGTAAGCACTTCTTCACTCTCCTACCATCTGGTAGGAGATATAGAAGCATAGCCAGCTGCACCAACAGGCTGAAGAACAGTTTCTACCTGTGGGCTGTCAGACTTCTGAATGGAAAATAACTTTATGTCAACATAGTATGATAGACTTGTGGGGTTGGCACATCATGCAACAAGGTCACATAGTGTAATTGGGACTGGGTTAGGGATCTGTCTTCACTGTGAGTTGTTTTGGAGTGGGTGCATGAAGGGAGGCTCAGCCAATCTCATTGTACATATGTTGTACTCTGACAATAAAGGTAATAATATCTGCAATGGTCCTATTTAGATTCACAATTTTCTTTGTCACAACATTCAGTATCAGAACTTCTAAGAGTACTACAGTTCTGGATGTTTCCCATTGGCTAAGTGGGACTAAGAAGTAATTTCTACTCTTCTTTCCTTCTCTTCACTCCCCCTGTCTTTGGATCTCTCCAACATAGAACTTTTATGATGGGAAACAACATTTCCAGCAACAATTTTCACATCTGAGGCTGTAAAATCTTAAAGAGATTGAATCTAAAAAAATACAATATTCAAATATGATTATTTTTTTAATAAAAAACTTTTCAGAAAAGGTAAGTAAAAGGTAAATTATCCTTAGTATAATTTTATCTATTTCTTTATATTATAGGATTTGAAAGCTTAGCTAATGATGATCAGATTGCACTATTAAAAGGTTCTACAATTGAAGCCATGTTTTTATGCTCAGCACAATTATACAATGAACAAGGAACTGAATATCAGACACCATTTCATGAAAGTAAGTTTTAATATTACCGTAGCATTTTTATTTTGTGTATATAATGAAGTGGCCCAATGTTTACATAAAGCTTGTCCCATCAATGTTCTTCCTTTTGAATGACTTTTCCTCTAACATTGTATTAAGCAATATTTTTGTAATCTGACTTATTCTGTTAAAAATATTTTTAAAAGAATATTTGGTTATTTTGTTCTTTATTATAGATCATATAAAATTTTCTGACCATACTATATGTGGCCAAAATAAAAATGCTTATCCCACAGAAATGTCTCATAGAGAAGAAAGGCCAACATCTACTAGTACAGCAGGTAACGAGGCTTTGTGATATATTTAATAAATGGCTAAATAATTATTTAATTTAAATATATCTAGTTTCAAAAAGTAAATAAAATATCTTGAAAATTCTTCTACTGAATTTTTAATAATGAAGTATCTTCATGTTATATTTTTGATTTTATTTAATTCACTATCTGGATTTAGCATCTTGATACCCCCACCATGTATATTTTTTAGTTTCTTGAATCCTGGAATCATCTTTGGCCACTTCAACCTTTATTTGTCTCTTTTCTAGTGTCTCTTTTACTCTGTTAAATGTTTCCTCTTTATTTTGCACTTTTGTTTCTCACATAGTTCATTACCCCAATTGTTAATATGTTCCATGGTCTGACTTCTTAAAATTATAATTATACAATTAAACTATTGTTTAGTAGTTTTTTCTTGTTCTTCCCACATGAGATGGTAGTGTGGGTGTTATTATTTTATGATCATATAACTTTGAAGGACTTCCATTACTTTATTTTTCTCAAGTTTAATTTTGGAATGTTTTTCTTCTTACTATCTGGAGAACCCATCGTGCTCTACCTTTTAAAAAAGAGTTTGTTTCTTCATTTTTCATTTAAGCTTGTTCTGTTGAGTTTTAAAAGTCTTACCTTTTGCTTATTTTCTCCAAACATAATTTTCACTGATTAATTTTTTTATCCACCATTCTGATTCCTCTAACAAGATTCTTTAATATCCATTGTGTTTACTACATTTAACTTATTTAAAATGCCAACAAACCTCCTCACAAAAATGTTTCTGAATGAATTTTACTCATTTATATTTAACCTAATATTTGTTTTAAGAATGAATCAATGATATATTATTTAGCTATCATCTGATATTTTATGTTTTTTTATAGGTATAACTGAGGAGTTTATCACCGCATTATTTTATTTCTACAGAAGCATGGGAGAACTTAATGTGACCGCAACAGAATATGCATTACTAGTTGCAACTACAGTGTATTTTTCAGGTAGCTTTAGCAATTACTTTAAAAAAAGTTCAAATTTTAAGAATGAGAACAGAAGTTTTATTTTTCTCTTTTAGGACTAACATAATTTTCCACATTTCAATAAATCTTTAATATGACCCTCCCCTCTAAGTTATTTATTTCTTAAAAGGTACAATACCATATTATCCCTATTCTGCTAAAATTAGCAGAATCATTACCTGAATGGGCATAAGAGATTTCTGGAAAACCTATGGCCAATAGAACAAGAATATATACAGTAGTATTCTCATAGCAAACATGATTTCTACTTAAGAATGCAATGCTATCTTTTTGATATTGCTTGGTAGTTGACATAAGAACACAAATAGAGGCATTCTGTCATAAGGATAGATAAGCTGGTTGGGTTGCTCGGTAATTTTGAAATATCCTAACCGTTCAAAGTTGGAACTGACAGTTATTTTGTTTTACACAAAATCATGTGTATTTTTATATTAAAAAATCATATTTTTCAGATCGACCACTCCTAAAAAACAAGCAACATGTAGAAAAACTCCAAGAACCTTTTTTAGGAATTCTGTACAAATATTCAAAAATCTATCACCCTGAAGAACCACAACATTTTGCCCGTCTCATAGGGCGGCTCACTGAACTCAGAACACTTAATCACAACCACTCAGAAGTACTAGTAACTTGGAGAACAAGGGATCCTAAGCTGACTTCTTTACTTTGTGAAATGTGGGACTTGCACTGAAAAATTGCTACTTTATGTGAATTGTTACAAAGGACTTTTTGTCTGTTCCTTAATTCTTACACTTTTAAGAAATCATTTATGTTAAATGACTTATATCTCATAAATCTGTCATGATAACTATTCAGAATGTTAGCTTGTATTGTGAAAGTACCCATATACATTTGGGTAAGCAAAATATGAAAATGTGTACAATTTATTGACTAAGTATTACTACCATATTTTAAAAGATATATGTAAAAATTGTTTAAACTGTTAAATATCATAATGCATTAGATATCTTTATATGAACCATTCAGACCTCTGTTAAAAGGTGGGTTGATTTTCCCTGTGGATAGATATTAGGCTTTAATTAGTACTTACACTATTCTATTTCATCAATAAAGAAAAAACATGGCCATAGGAAGAATGTTTTATATTGTAGCTCACACATACACGAACACTGCAAAGGTATTGACCTGGCAAATATTACAATCTGTAACTTATTTGGGTGCACTGCATAAATCTTGGTTGATTAAATTTACCATTTATATATATGCATGTCCCCAAGCCATGTCATTCACATCATATTATAATTCGTCATTTGCCAAAGCTGAATACTTACAATAATTAAATAATAACATTTAATAATGTTCACCTGTATGTGAAGTCATGTTGTAGATGGACTATTTTAGAAGCATATTTTAGAACTTATTCATGCCAACTTCATTTGTGAATACAATTAAGATTTCCAATGAATTTGAAAGGGATACTCTATATAAAATAAAAATTGAGTTGAACTTAGCTTCTGGACACTGCTATGAACGTTTCCTTCTCAGCAATAATGGAAGTGTCTTGTCACTACATTCCTTTGGGATTTGTTTTCAGTCACTGCATTCTTTTGGGATGTTATTTTCACCAGGAGTTTTCTGGTCTCCCACCCAAGAACCAAGCAGGTTCCATCCTGCTTACTCTTTATTAACACCGGTCATGTTTGGCTAGACATTGCCATCTTTTTGGATTTTATGGTTTAGTACTAGAGGCTAATTTAGACTGGTATTGATGATTTACATTAATATAGTGATAATCCCCATCTTATCTTTTAATATAATTTCTCAATTAAAAAAGCTTCCTGTTAATTTCTATTATTGTAACTTTGAAGATATATATCTTACAATTCTACTCTTTTTATATTGGAGATATTATCTTTGCATTTAAGAATTATTATTCATATCTAAAATAATATTGTGTTAATGACATCTGAATATAAAGCTAATATTTTAAATTTTGTTAAGTGCAATATTTTAGGTATATATTTAAGTCTAATAAATGGACTATCAGTCTGATTTTCTGAAGCAAATTGATTGATTTTATATGCTTAATTGGGTCAGAAATCTTTATTTCTAAAATATATTTGTACACGTTTAAAATGGTAGTCTTCTAATTTAAAGTCATATTGTAGCATTTCAAAATTTGGAAGAAATAAAACAGACCAAGGACAGAACGCTTTGTAGTACCACTTTCCCAAGATTGCAGCTACTGCATGGTACATTCATAGGTTCCGTTAGTTCGCAGTTGAAATTTCTGCGAATAGACACCGCCTAATTGCTCTTGTTGTTAGTAGAAAAAACCGCACATCCTCATTATCTTATCTGATTTGGCTACACGCAGATTCTCTAACGTAATGCTTCCCAATTCGGCGTCATTGAAATCGGCTTGCTCCATTTTTAGATGCAAGTGACGGCGAGACCTTGACTGATTTCCTGACACCATTTGCGAAGGTTGAGTAGCCTTACTCATCTGAAAGGTAGTTTACCCAGACCAGCTATAGGCGGCTTTCCAGAACTGAATCTGGGACGGCCATCTGTTTGCGAAGCCACAGTTCTTTCTCATGTCTTAACATACTTCCCCCGCCAGTTCTTATCGTAGTGTTCAGTCCAATTCGCTACAACAGTTGAGGTTTTGTGAAGACTTAGGGTTGTCTTCATCAACAAAACGTGAAAGAAGATCCAACTGTCTATGGAGATTCTCAGTCATCCAGGTCCTGGTTGTCTCAAAGGTGCTTTTTTCAAGAGGCAACTGGACTTTCTGGTTTTCGCTTCTCATCCAAGAAGCTTCTTCAGCGAAACGTCTTCAAAGAAAAACCAGAAGTCCAGTTGCCTCTTGAAAAAAGCACCTTTGGGACAAGAAGGGCCGACTGTTGCGAAGGGATCGCGGGAGGATGGAGTCTACCTGCGAGGCGGGCGGGTGAACCGCCCATTAACGAGATACTGACCATTAATGCTTAATCTTTGGGCAGACGCCCCTTCCCGCCCCCGCCCCCTCTCAGAATTACCTGAAGGAAAAGGCGTTAAACCGTCGACCTGCGGCTCGCGCTTTTGCACACGGCTCTGGATCGATTTATTTCCCGCCTTTTTCTTTTTTATTTGCTCCAGTTCTTGGGTCGTTACGCCCGGTGGTGCTGTTTGAGGTAATGATTCATTCATGCACGGGGCTCCTGGCCCAAGAGCTGTATTTCCATTCCTCGCAACCTCTATGTGTCCGAGAGTAACATTTTGTCGAGGCTGAGAACGGGATCTTATGTTTGTGATCTTTATGCATGATTCTAAAGCTTTTCGGTAATAGATACTATTGCGCTATAAAAGAAATGTTTAACAATAAAAATGTTCGATTGCTATTGTTAAATATTAAATATGCCAACTAATTAAATATGTCAACTAATAGCGAAATGCATGCACTATTTAATTAAAAACAAAATCTCTGCTCGCTATAGTACATGTTAGTAATGTGCTATTTGGCATTTGCATTCATTGTCCTGGGAATGTAAAATCTACATTTAGTTAAGTTTGATTCTTTGTTTCATTAGTAATGTTGACAGATGACACTGCCTCAGATTAAAGTTAAGAGTTACCTGAATATTATTATTTTTATGCTGATAGGCTTTTCAAAATGCTGAAAGATTGACAATTGATCTAGAAACCCATGAGAGAGTAAAGTAAGAGGAGAGAATTATAGACAACTAGAAAAGTACATTTGTTTACATATTCCTAAACATATTGATAACAAACGTTTCTGAATTGATTGGGACTCATTTACAGGTAAATAGCTGTGGCTTCAGTTATTCTGTTATTATATTTATTTTAACTAAATAAACACATTGTAAGTTCATCATTATTTCTTGACAATTCAGTCAAAGGCAGTTTTATTATTATATTTTGATTTTAAATATGTTTTTGTACTTGCTTCTTTCCCTCTAGATAATGTTTAAATTTTGTGGCCTTTCTCTGTGCTTTACCATAAGCCAGTCTTGCTAAATTTGAAAGCCCTCCTTTTCTGATAAAGGCCTTGGACTTCTACCCCCACTTTTCTATTTTATTGGTACCATAACATTCTTCACTAAAATATCCAGGAAAAAACAGCAATTCTATGGAGATTTTTCGTATATAGTAATAAAACCTATGCAAAATTAAATCAACTTTATCCAGAAAAGTATTCTAAATAGTGTTAATACCAGCTAAATATTTTATCATTTATTTCTATGTTTGTTTATTCCATTTGTATGCTTCTGAATCTGCAAGAGACTCCAATGGTTTACAAAAATAAATCAGCAATGAAAACATCCATGGTAAATGTTTTTCTTAACTTGAATTATAATAATAAAAATTCAGTGTAATAAAACACTAGATTAGAAATAAAAGTGTTTTGTATTAAGAAATCAAAAGAACATATTTAGGCAATTCAAAAGCTGTCTAAACTGAGGCTCTAAACTGAGGAGAGAGCCATAGCTAACTGTATGTATCTCATAGGAAAGCAGCTTACCATGATCTTATGTTCTAAGATTCCTATGTATATGTTTGATTCCAGTTTATGTCATTGCCTCATGAATAATAGTTTATTTAATTGAAATTGGCTTTTTTTCCTGTTAAATATAAGCAGAGGTGGTATTCAGCAGGTTCTGACCAGTTCTGGAGAACCGGTAGCAGAAATTTTGAGTAGTTCGGAGAACTGGCAAATACCACCTCTGACTGGAGGTTTTACAGTATCCTTCCCCTGCCATGTCCACCAAGCCATGCCCACAGAACCGGTAGTAAAAAAAAATTGAATCCCACCACTGAATATAAGTAATATATATATTTTTAATTTTTATCCCAACCATTAGAATAGTAATAATGCTAGCCTACTATATAGTTATAGCTTATTACTGGTATCTAGTAGTAAATTGTATAAGAACTCGTACTCTGATCTGCAGAGTATGAAAAAGTGCAAAGAGAAGCAACTTAATGCAATCAATATGTGCAATAAAGCAGGGGTGGGCTTCAAATTTTTTAGCAAGGGGCTCTTTGCCCTAATGACTGTCTGGGTGGGTGTGGCTAGGTAGGCATGGCCAACTCAACACCACTCCCACTCAGTCACATGACCCCCAGCCATGCCTACCCAGGGTTTTGTTGCTCCTGCTGTTTTCTGTGGGAAATGGATATCTTCCTCCCTCCCCACTCTTTCTCTGTGTCCCCCTCCCTCCCATTTCTGTTTTTCTCTCTTTTTCCATCCCCTCTCCTTTTCTTCTTTCTTTTTCTTTCTTCCTTTCCCCTTCTCTCTTATTTATTTCCATCTCTTTTATTCTGTCCCTCCAGCTCTCTCATTTCTCGCCCCCTGCCCCTTCTCTTTCTCATTTGTTTCTTTTTCCTGTCTCATTCTCTCCCTCCATCATTTTCCCATTTCTCTTTCTTTTTCTCCCCTTTTCTCTTTTTTTCTCCCCCTTTGTTTTTTTTCTTTTTCTTCACCTTCTTTCTTTTTTCCTTTCTTTTTCTTCCTTCTCTCCCTTATTTGTTTCCCTCTCTTTTCCCTCTCTCTCATTCTCTCCCTCCAGCTCCCTCTCTCATTTCTGTGTCCCTCTCCCCCTTTTCTCTCTCTCTCATTTGCGACTGGCTGCTTTTTACGATTCCATGTCATTTGTGGGCAGCTCAGCTCAAGCCACAGTTCCCTTCATGTCAGCTCAGGAAGGAGCAGCTGCCACCGCCACCACTGAATGCAGGGAGGGAAGAGCTCTGGCTCTCCTGCGCAGCGTGGCTGGCTACTCACATGAACATGCAGTGGAGGCAGCGGGAGGAGGAGTTGCCATTGCCGCTGCCGTGATCCTGGCCCAGGAGGGTGTCCTGCTTGTGTGTGTGTGCACACACACGAAAGAGAGAGAGATGAGAGAGAGAAAAGGAGAATTCCCTTTTCTCTCATTTCTCTCATCTCTTTCATCCCCACTTGTGCGGCAGGGCCAGCCAGGAGTGGGATTTGGGGGCTCACTGAGCCCTGCAAAATCTTAGCTAGGGGATTGCCTAAGCCTCTGTGAGCCCCCAACAGCCCACTCCTGGTAAAACATTGCTAAATGTTATTTTGAGATTTGAGTCTGGTTTCTTTTTAGAGTGAGAAAGAAGAAGATAAATCTTTTAAATTTAAATTGTTTGTACCACCAAGACTGAGTAACACTCAGGTGTCTGCAGTCAAACCACAAACAAGTACACGGGATGAGGGCTTCTTTCAGGTAAATATGAAAATATCCTTTTTCCCCCTAAGTAAATGCAGAAAAATGTTAGTTTATCCTGTGAAATCATTTTCTAACACTTTAGTAGTTCTAAACTTGTCCTGTGAATGAATAATTAATTTTAACTGACTTTTTCATTCTGAATCGTAATTTAATTTCATCTTCATACATTACTAGCTGATAACCTGGTTGTTGCTGGGTATTTATTTATCCCAATCCTGTATTAGACAGAAAAATCTTGTAATCCTGTTATACTGTCTTTCGTGCAATGTCACAACTCTTCTATTCCTCTCCTCGGGTTTTTTTTTGTTTTTGCTGGTGTTTCATTTTTTTGATTGCACTTGGCCAATTGCCTGATGTTTCCTTGGAGGGCTGAGAGGGAGCCTCCTTGTGGAGTACTGGGGTACTGTGGAGCCATTACCATGGCAAGTCCACTGTGCTATGCAGTAGAAGCCATTTTAAGGCACACATAAACACCCCGAGGGGTGTTAGGGGTGTTTTACCTCTACAGTATTTATTTCCAGAGGGTAAGTCATCGGTGTACCAAGTTTGGTTGAAATTGCTCGAGGCGTTCAGAGTTATGCTGGAACACACACACACACACACAGACACACACACACACACACACACACACATACACGTAGATAGCTAGAGATAGAGATAGATAGATAGATAGATATAGAGATATAGAGATCAAT